TGCTTTTGAAATTTCACTGACACATTTGTTGGATGGTGGTTCATCATTAAGATATATCTATAGCCTGCATATTCACTGTACCAAAATTGTGCCGCCTACCCGAAGTGTTGGGTCCATCACCGTAGATGACTTTGTCTATACAAATTTGCCAAAACATGAACTAAGACTGCAGACCTCTTCTGTTCTTATTTCATATTTTGAACCCTCTGTTGATTTTTAACACTTTGATAGTGTCTGCCTTCCTGTCAGTTGCCTACCATCTCTTACAGCACAAACCTGCTGACCTACAAACCATTTAAGCCACCAAGCAAACTTTGGTCAATGTGCCAAGTTCCTGTGAATGTGACTGTATCTACTCAGCAGTGTGCTGCTAGAGAGGTTGTTATGCATTCCTGTTCCCCTCTTGGGGTGGGCGTTCCTTGGGCTTCTCTCCAAAGTCTCCTTACCTTTCAGTTCCAGATAAATCTGATGATCTAATGATTTTCCAAGGTGATCAAGATTTTCCAAGGTGCTTAGTTCCTTCTCATGGTCCCTCATGTGGACAAGTGGTTGCATTTATATTTTGATGAGTATTGCAATTCTTACAAGGGCCATCCTATTTGTGTAATTAGGAAAAAGTGTACTGCACAGGACTGTAATATATTATTCAGTAGTTAAAATAAAAGGAGTAATGTATTGTGTACATGTAGTTAAAATAAAAAGCATAAGAGTTGTCCTGATAACTCATTGTACATTTTTTGCACAGTAATGAAACAAAAAATGTTGCTAGAGTACTATGGAAACGGAACAAACCATAGATTATGAGATATACCCAGTTCTGAAATCAACAGGGCACTTGTTTCTTATCAAATACTTCTAACCTTTGTTCTTTGATTTTGTTATGTGAGTCTAATTGCCTTATGCTATAACTAGTTTAAGTGGTTTCTGACAGCCAACATTGGCTGTTGATAACTTTTGAACTGAAATCGAGCTTGGTATCACAGGCAATTACAGTTATTAGTAGATGTTCGTTCAAACTGGTGCTGGTCTGCTGCCTGCTATAATTGAATTTTACTCCAACCTTGTCGACCTTGTCCGTATGTAGAAGGTTCCAGATGTGGTCTTCAAAAGCCCAAGGACAGGCCAAGCTCACAGTCAAAGGCATGCTCTGCTATTAAAGGAAAGTCTCTGGCCAACAGTTGATAGATAAGGTTGTCATGCGATACTAGTTATTACTACTCAGTACATGAATGTTACAGGCTGTAGTTCAGGCTATAATCTATGCTGCTTGTGTTACCTGGAATCTACTCTATTGTGCAGCATACAATGTAAGTCACATACTTCATTTAAACTCTTGAATCCTCAGATACAGGAATGTTAAAAGAGGTATTGGAAGCTTTCAGTGATAGCCTTGCTTCGGGTTTATTTTTGCAAAGTATTGTGCATAAAGTAAAACTTATCTCCAGCTGTGTGATGCTTCCTCATGGAACCTTTCCTGAAAATGTGTTTGATGACAAGTTTTGAAAGGATTACATTGCTTTATGTCCCACTTTCTTTTTTGTCTTCATGGTTTTCAGTGTGGGTGTTAAGAAAGCTTATCATCGAGCAGCTGATTCTTGGCATTCCCCCCATTCCTGGTTGCCTATGTCTTTCCTGCCTTTGGCACAAACAAATCTGGACTATCCGTTGTGACGTTAATGAAATAGTTTTGTGCAGGGTAAAAGTTCCTGCAGACATTTGCACTATGTCAGCTTCACAACTATAACAGTCATGGGTAACAGAAAACTGCCTGTAGTGACAAGGACTCATTCCTAAATGCTGTTCAGCCTTGGCTTCTTACCCCTACCATAGAGACTCTCTTTGTACAGGTATCTGTAGGTGTGAGAATAGGATAGCTGAAAACAGATTTTCAGGACTTTTCTATGGGGGTAGAAGTAAGTGATTGAAGTTGAAAAATTTTGATCCTAATCCAACCTGGGATGTTTTAAACTAAAAGTTGACGTGTTCAGTTCAAAGTTATTGCTGGTTGTTTGTTGGAATTTGTCAAAGAATTATCTTAACATCACCTCTTGTCAATATTATCACTGTAGCTACTATCACAGGGATCAAATGTCAACAGAAAAGGTCCCTCATATCAGTGAAGGTGTTTCATATCCCAGTTGACATGAAGCAGGTTGCCATGCTGTTGCAAGGTATAGATCATCCTACATATATTCTTTCATGTAATGAATAAGTTTTTTCTTGTAGTTGTTAAAGTAGTACAGACGTCCAAATATTTACAGTGTTTTGAAAGGAGAGCATTGCCAACCTTTATCTTTGTATGAATGTCCGTATGTAGACACCACTCTAAAAGCTTGCCTTATTATACCTAAAAGTACACTAACAAAACTTTTTGATGGGACCAGGAAAATGTAATGTCCGAACTGATGGTAAAACTAATCATGTGAACCACGTGTACCTTGGTTCACCTATGCTAACCACAAACTCCAGGAGAAACACCTCAGGTTATGTTGATTTCAGCTTGGTTGAAACTTAAACTTCAGAGACCTCTTCACATGTGGTCGTGTTACTGTATAAAGGGTTGAACCAGGTAAGACCTGCAGCTGGTTTTAATCATGGCCAGGTCTTGGGGGCGTATCTCAGTTTCAGTGTTGACCTTCACTTAGTTAGCCAGAAGACTTGGAAGACTGTATGTTATCAGTTAACCGCTGCTTTCAGTTTGATTTTGTACCAGGTTAATTGACAGGTCCTTCTAGATTCTGAAAGAGATGAGTTGACTGACCTCAATGATTTGGACAAATTCAAGTCCTCATCAATCAAGGTATGGATGACTGTAGAAGTTACTAGAAAAAAGGAAAACAGGTGTGGGAAGACGATACACATGTTTCACTCTGATTGCTTCAGTTTTTGTTAAAGCAATCTAAAAAAAATGATAACTTTCAACACATTTCCATCAATTTCTGCTTAAATTCTATCAAGGTGAATTGATAAATTGGGCATTATCCCTTTGACCTCCAACCCAGTCCAATTTGTTTCACATTTTTACTAGGACTTCACAGGTCCTCTGCAGTCAGTTTACAACTGCTTTGCAATAGCTCTCCATCCTTAGTTAGACGTTTCTTGTGTCAGACATTAAATTTGTTTTAGCAATAGTTTTCCTGTTATTATGTAGTGTCTAAGCTGCCAGCTTCAAACACCCCGCCCGGTAGCTGGCAGTTTGCGTTTGCCGGAAGAGCGCTAGTCAAACATACAGGGGCAGCCCTCCCCACACATTCCTGTCCATTAGAACACAGTCGTGAGGATGGCATCCCTGACCTTGAGTTCTAGGTCATGACCACACTGTGAGCTGTGGGACCTGACAGTTGTGTCATGGCTGGAAGTGATCAAGTCCATGGTTTAGTTGGGACATGTGTTGTGGTGGGTCCTTCGTTTTGAACCAGAACCATTTTTTCCATTGAGGAACAGACGAGTAGTAATACATGTATGTAATGTTAGTTAGTACTAGTAGTGAAAGACTTCCATATCTTGGAGATTTTTGGTAGGTCATACAAGGCTTGAGGCTACACCTGTCCAGTCCTTCCACCTGTTATTTCAACCAGACATCTATTTTTACCAAGCCCTGGAGAGCATTCTTACAATTGTGGACATGTTGGAATTTTAGAAGTCATTCTGTTATGTTCTACTGCTGTACCTTATAACATGCCAAGGTCTATCATACACTAGGGACAAATCTGCATTCTGTGTTAGCTGGAGAGGTCAGTACTGGCCCTGACCTATTAGTTATGAGGGCTGTTAGCTCCAGGCAAAGATACCTGTTCCTGTTATTATGGTAATAAGGATATTCTTAGGAAAGTCATATTCTGTTGATGTATGTATTGTAGCTGTATGTCATCAATAGCATCGTTACTTCATTAAAATGAATTATCCTGAAGTCCTTGCCTGCCAATACCATGATAACTGAGAAAGGAAAGTTACTGTAAGGTTACATTTCAGCAGCAGAATGATGATCTTTTGCAGGTTAAAGTTTAGGAGTGACTTACCCTTCCGCAGATGTTACGGATCAATTCCTTCCTGTTCCCCTATCCTGTGGCAATGGTGGAATGTTGGTTCTTCACCAAGTTCTGTTAATCTTTATCAGACTCAGGCTTAGACCAGGGAGGGGGTTGGTTGAATTCTTTCAGGGTCTATGTATTTCTTTTTTTGGGGGTGTGTGTGTGTGTCTGTATTGTAATCTCCTACTGTAATAATTGCGCAGAAACATCTATACCTGGGGAAAAACATTTTCAACAAATTTCAACCAGGCCTATTCTAGATCTGTTTGGCAAGACACTGTGGGTCAACATGTCTTTATTTGGTGAAAATTTTGGGAGTTCAAATGACTGAATCGAAATCCTACAAAATATTTGCCCAACATAGCTTTCTGTTACTTTTCGCTTCTGTTGCTAGGAGAATATCCTTGTTACATAATGCCCCCTGTGGGAAAATAGTTTTGTGTAAGCTAAAACAGGATCAAGAGATTCAAGGCACGTATCCATTTCCACAACATGTTGATTTTATAACGGTTCTGGTAAGACCAGTATGTTGAACTTGTGGCCTCCCCCTTGTAAGGACTGGGCATGCCATGCCTCGGCTGTCGTATGTCTTTGTGTGGCTGGTCATCTCCCTGTCCAGACTACACTGATACAGTTAGGGTAAAAGGTTGTCAAATGTTGCATAACATATGTATGTTGATCTTTGTCCTGGTAAGGCCAGTGTGTTGAACTTTTGGCCTGTCCCATTTGAGAAACTGTTTTTAATCATGCTTCAAAGTCATTTGTCATGTACAGATAATTAAAACACCTTGTAGACATTTAGTAACCATAATGATTGTCTCAGTGTCAATTCCTGATTAACTAAAGATATCCAAGACCGAGTAGATAACTTGTTCTGGCCTTTTGAGGGCTGTATGTGTTCATGTCCATGTCCATGTGCAGTAAGTATGTGTATGAGATGCTGACTGGACTATTCTGTGCCCTGTGTAGCTGCCTCCTGGGCTGGACCTGACGCTGGCAGACCTTCAGGAGATGGCCACCAGGCAGCAGCAGCAGATTGAGAGCCAGCAGCAAATGTTGGTCGCAAAGGAACAGAGACTGAAATTCCTCAAACAGCAAGATAAGGTACGTGGGTTGTCCACAGGCTGTTGTTGTTTGGTTGCTTTTGTGACGCAAACAGTAAGAAGTTATCCTTGTTGTTTCTGTGGCAGGATTTTGGCGGTATATTACAGAGGGTAGTCATGCTAGCCTGGAAACCAGCCCAGATGTATATGTATAAACTTGAGACTAGCATTTACCTGTAACATCAACCCCAACCCTGGTTAAGTCAAAGTAATAACAAGGCTGGTCCCTGCTTTACAGGCTTTAATGGCTTCCTGAAAAAACTCAAAACTATATAATACCTTGAGTGAAGTGTTATCAGTCCTGTCAAACACTGATAAAATTCATACTTCATTTAGGCGGTTTGCACTGAAATATTAAGAGAAAACTGACACTCCAGACTTTATCTTTGAGTGAAAAGCCCTGCTATCTTGAGTGGCTGCAGGCCCATAGGGAGGACACAAACCCTGTGCATCAGCCAAAGGCCAGACAAGACTGGGGTGTAAGGTTTCCCCAGTGCTGTGAAGTCTGCCGCAGATGTCAAGTTGAACTCTGAAGGCTTCAGTCTGTTGAGGCTAGGGAGGGAGGTACCAGAGGGTGGGTGGGCAGACTGAAACAGTTCTCTACTGCTGTGAACACCTCAGGGATAAGCCCTGCTAATAAAGATCTGGTTATGACAGGAATATCTGATCTCAGGGAGGGTTCCAGAAACAACAAATTGAAGGATTAAACTTGGACTTGGACTTGAATTTAGGGATTTGGTGAATCATCTAAAGGTTCTTGGGGGGGGGGCAGTACTCCCTTTTAAGGCATGTCTGGAGGACATGTTTTTGTAAGGATGTGTGCGAACCAGGGAACGGCTTTGAGCCATAAATGGGCAAATGAAAGGGCAGAATTTCATAGGAAGGACTCTGTTGACTCAGTCAAATTCATGTGGCAATATCAGCACGACCTGTAAGGCCATCGCTTCCATATTGAAATTAACCTGTGTGACATGCTAGAATTTCTACTTTTAGGACGGCTATTTATATTGGGAAAGGAGACGTTTGATGCCAAGCTCCTGTTTCCATGTATACCTCAAATGTACGAACTTGACAGCAGTGACGTCTGGGGTTTGTAAGTCATAATCATCCTGGGTTCAGGTTCGTAGTTCTGGCATAGGATAACACACCATCTAAGCCAGCAACAAATTTGTAAAACGTTCTGATGAAGACGGAAAACTGCCCTCGCACATTCTAGACGTGAACTCAAGCTGGAGTTATGTGGGTGTGGGGGCGCCAGATAGTCAGCTAGCAGTAATATCTGTGCAGATCCGAAACAAACAAGTCATATCCGGTACATGTAAAATATGGGCCATGATTTTCAGATTTTTCTAAAGACCAAATGAATACGACATCAAATTCAGGATCTTACATATATAGATACAAATGCAGAACTTATACATTCACCCCCAAATATAGTACATTTGTAGAAATGAATTAGCTTTGTTGGGGTGGTAACTGTTGCACTTAGTCATCATGCGTGTGTGCATGTTTCTGACTTTGCTTGAAGAGGGTGAAGTCTGTCATCTCTAACAGCCCTGTTTTGTTTCCCTTGTACCGTGTATAGGCCCAGCAAGAAATGGCGGAAGAAAACGAGAGATTGCGTATGCTGCGAGACAAGGTGGAGAGCCAGGAGATGAAACTGCGCAAACTCAGGTCACTGCGGGGGCAGGCGGAGCAGCAGAGAACCACCAACTCTAACTTGTGTAAGTCCGGTCTACAGTCATTTTGATTTAGTCAGCCATACACTGATGAGTGGTGAGAAGGCAGAAGCCTGTCACTTTTGGCCAAGCACACCTGGTCACCCCTTGTCTTCTCCAACATGCAGAGGTTTGACACCTGGGGATTACCAATACATGGGGCAGAAGGCAATAGGACTGAACATCCCTCCCTTCAGACAATCTGATCCCCGAGCAGGAGTGTCCCAGTCATCAGGGGGTTGTAGATTGGAACATACAACCTCTGGGTTTCCAATGTGTGTGCCCAAAACAGGACCATCAATGTCCTTAATTCGAGTTTACTGGTGCTATAATATCCGTACCCTGTGTCTTCTGAGGCCAGGCAGGACACAGAACAAGGCCAACATGGTGTAAAAGTACACCCATCTTGTCTTGTGGCTGTTTTCTTAACCTAGTTCCAACCCTTGAAGTTCTTATAGAAGATTAGAAGTATATTATTATGTGCTGGTGTTGTCCCTTCCCCATGTACAAATGTAGGTCAGGTCAAAGAATCTGTTCCCATTACCATCTGGTCACTGATGCTGGGGCCTGCATGCCATTTTAGGCAGAGCATGATATAAACTGTTTTGATTCCATGTAATCCATAGCCAGATCACAAAGATTAACTATAAAATGTTATTGGTGCATTTTCCATTTCATTTAGTATAAAACAAAGCCAGCTTGCTCGAAACCAAAGTAATTAAGCTGGTTTGTTATGCCGAAGGGTGGTTATACCGGCTATACAGATACAGATACAAATGTACATTGCTGGTGCCTTTCTGACTTAAGTGTAAAGCATTGAAAGCACAGATTTCCCTTCTGGATGAAAACATTACCAAATGTATTCAACAGCAGACAAGTTGTTTTTCCAGAGTTGCTACATGTTTTGCACTTGCAGACCACAGCTCTGACAATGGAACCAATTGATCAGTTTCCCTGCTAATCCACCAGGGGGAGGACCTGTCAGAGTAAACCCTCTCCTCCTGAGTGGCCACTTCAACCCTCTGTCAGCTTCAGGGTCATTTACCTACCTGCTCTAAGTGGGCTCCTGTCCCCCTGGGTTCTACAAGTTCCCTTATGGCAGGCTGAAAGAAACAATAGTTACATTGTGGCTACAGCTGATAAAATCTTCAAGTGCTTTGGCATAGGCCTTGGAATCAGTCCCAATATTGGATAAGGACACTGGAACTTGGTGCCTCTAGTAAGTTAATTGCTTGTGATGCTGAGCTTGTTTTACTGGAACTGCATGCAGGAAGTTAGTTACCATGTAATATCAAACACCTGCTAAATGTCTGTCCTCTTTGCTTCAAGCAACCATCAGCATGTTGCCATTAATTCTTTGCCCATTAGAATATGCTAGTACATGTATATCCAGTGGGGAGTAGCCAGTGTATCTGTGGTACAGTTCATAGAATCATAAGAAAGAAATGTCTACAAACACAATTGTACAAGTTGGTCAGAATACACTTATAGTAGTAACGTATATAGCTTATGATAAGAACACTTTTGGACCAGTGTTGAAAACTGCTCAGAATAGGGTCTCTCCACCTGTTGCCCTTGGTGGTTACTGGTGCAGGTCCTATTAATTATAGTAATCAAATGTAAACACCATTAAGGCTGCTCTGGCTGCATCAGGGAGATTAAAAGCATGCACTTGATTAACTCAGTGGGAGTGACCAAAAAAGTCTTACCTCAAAGTAAACCCCTGGAAAATGTGGTGACAGCTGAACAAGCAAATACAGTTGCACAAACAAATCACATATTGTTCAAAGTAGGTACAAATTTATTTGTGCACACAGTTCATAATGCACTTCCACCAGTACATGTATATCAAGGAGGCCTGCCATGCAGTGTAGTAGTAGTAGAAATTGGAAATCATTGTAATATAGAACTTCAAGTCATCTTTGCCTAAAACTGGACAATTGCACTGTTTTTCAATAAATATGTTGATTCACAATTACGGCCTGTAATACCTAATCTGGCCTGTTGCAGTAGAACTGAACTGGACACCATGCATGAGAAGACTGGCCATAAAGCAGGCCATGTTGTGTTAGTTGATGATGAGGAAACATTTGCAGAGACAGGTGGAAATGTTTGTGCCATACAGGGAAGCCCCTGCTGGGAGGCTGTCAGGACCTGCACTGCTGGGGGTACAGTCCTGCTCCCATAGGGGCAGCTGTTGGCCATGTTTGGGTTGTGGAGGTCATAGAGGTCGTCCGCTCTTTGGACATGGTCAACCCTGCCTCATCTATAAATATGGAGCATACCTCAACCCTCAACATAGTTAACGTTGATGACAGGCATAAACACACAACAGGCATATGCAGTGCATTAAAGTGGATATTCCTTCTGAGGGCACGTTCCCCGAAAACGATATCTACCAAACCAAGGAGGTTTATGTGCAAATAAACAATAACCAACCTGTATTAACTGAAATCATTCTGTAAGAGTAAGAGAATAACTAGGATTCAGAAATATAACATCTTGTAGTGATTGTTTGAATCTCAAACATCCATATTTTGAACCACAAAGTGTTGCTAATCTGGCTAGTTGTCCCGACATCTGTAGGGCAAGTAACATGGAGAGACAAAACAACACTGACCTCTGCCCTGCTTCCTCAGACGTTTGGATACAGTATACAGTAAACAAGATTCCATCTTCTTCCCCTTACACTAACCTAGATTGATCAACATTAGTGAGACTGACTAAACTGTCATTACCAAGAAGGCCGATTTCACCATAATATGAAGATTGGGATTTTGAGGGTTTAACATTAAATACTATAGTGGAGACCTACACATGAGGTTATAACGTATGTGCGGAACTTTCGTGTGATGAAAAATGTCCATCAACCAGGTTGTTTAGAGATTGCTGTTACATGTACCCGTGACAAAAGGGGCAGAACTGCAAGAGAGTGAATGATGTTACACAAGTGACCAGTACAATACCAGTTCCTATATGGAGTTTGAAATCAGGATGTTTTCCTCATACCACACCCTGCCAGCAGTTATTTGTTGCCTGGGGAAAGTCTGACAAAGAACGTGTTCATTTTCCTGCCAGTAATGAACTTGTTCTCTCAAGTTGATGGTTGGCATACCATTGTGATTAGAACATGATGTCATGTTCCCTATGGGCCTGGCCACCTGTTCTCTTTTCTGGCACTTGTTTTGCACCCTGAATCAGAGGGAACATGTGAAAATCTCTTACAAACAAAATTGACACTACATGTATAAGACATCCAGAATCCAATCACAATGCAAGGAACTTTGGTTTCCGAGCCATTGGACTGAACGGTAATGGTGGAAGTACCGGGGTATAATTGGACTGAACCTACCAACATTTATTTGCAAAGGGTATTTAATAATGAAACCAAGAACAGTATACATGTTGTACAAGGTAGATTGTGAGGAACAGTTGTAATG